CTTGCCCGCGGGTTCCCTGACCTTTGCTGTTGTTATTTCGATTATTGCCTCAACAAGTTTGAAGTTTCTTTTTTTTTTTTTTGTTATCTCTACAACAACGTTACAAATTTACAGGGATACATAGTTTTCTTCAAGTTATAGAGGCGTTTTCTGCGGACTTTGTTTTCAGACATTGGTGCCGTCTCAATTTTTTGGAGCAGCTTGTGTTTATTGGAGAAGCTCTCGGTTTTTTATTATTTTGGGCTCTCAACGTTGTAGTTTCCTTTTTCCTAAGCCTTTCTTTTTTGGGTATACGACCTTCTTTGGTATTTATTTTGTTTTGATATTTTTTTTGTACTATTGAGAGATTTTGTAATGTGGTAGAGAAACCCCCTTATGAGTGCGTATTGTATTATGTCTTTTTAGATTCCAGAAATCCTCTCCCAACACTATGTACTTAACTTTTGTGATTAACATGCAGAGACCCGAATAATGCTCCTTTCCCCCCTCTCTCTCTCTCTCTCTCTCTCTCTCTCTCTATATATATATAAAGCATGCAAAAGCATGCAAAAAATTGATTATACTTTTTATAAGTCCAAATAATAGTATTTTTTATTGACGAACGCTTTAGGTGACGTATAAATTAAAATTTAGATGGTAGATATGTAAATGCATAAAATTTGGGCGACACGAACGTAAGTATATACGATTCTTAGATTTTCACGTTGGTCATAAATTAAAAGTTCTAGGGAAGTGATGAAATAATACATATCATGTCTATGGCTTGCCCTCTAATGGCTGATTACAGCTTCATGACTCTGATTGCCCGCGGGTTCCCTGACCTTTGCTGTTGTTATTTCGATTATTGCCTCAACAAGTTTGAAGTTTCTTTTTTTTTTTTTGTTATCTCTACAACAACGTTACAAATTTACAGGGATACATAGTTTTCTTCAAGTTACAGAGGCGTTTTCTGCAGACTTTGTTTTCAGACATTAGTGCGGTCTCAATTTTTTGGAGCAGCTTGTGTATATTGGAGAAGCTCTCGGTTTTTTATTATTTTGGGCTCGACGTTGTAGTTTCCTTTTTCCTAGGCCTTTCTTTTTTGGGTTCACGACCTTCTTTGGTATTCATTTTGTTTTGATATTATTTTTTGAACTATTGAGAGATTTTGTAATGTGGTAGAGAAACCCCCTTATGAGTGTGTATTGTATTATGTTTTTTTTAGATTCCGGAAATCCTCTCCCAACACTATGTACTTAACTTTTGTGATTAACATGCACGGACCCGAATAATGCTCCTTTCCCCCCTCTCTCTCTCTCTCTCTCTCTCTCTCTCTATATATATATATAACA